GTAATGAGAGCAATAAAAACCTGTGGTCTCCAGATAAAAATGGAGAAATGAAAAAAATTGTACTAGCAGATCTAAAACTGTGACTAAAGAAAATCACTATTATTGCAAAACTGCTCAACAGTTTAAGGTCCAAATATCTGCTGTGAAATAAGTCTAAATGCTATATATGTGTGCATTAGAGATAGCTTCAGTCATTATTTGCAGCTAACATCTCAAGACAAAAAAACCAACATATGATTATAATTTCATGTGTGACTTAATTAAAGTAAGCTCTGCAGTTTCAATTAGGTCTTTGACTGTCATGTGTTGAATTTCTGATAACTTGTGCTGATTTGCAATTGTTCTGTGACAGTCAATTTGTGGAACTGTTCAATTCAGAACTGCTATGAGAATCCTTCAGTTTCATATTCACATTTTCATTCATACGGCTGACTGAAAAAATAAGACTTGATGCAAGATATGATGTGTTTTGAATGAAGTACTTTACAAATAAATGAGATAAGCTAATTTGATTAGGTAGAAAATGTTTTTAGTAACTACAYCTGTTTTTAGAATACAGACTGCTTCTCTATTTATCATTCTTGGTGCAATATTTGTTGTGTGTGCAAAAAAGGGTTATCTTACCTGCAATCTTGAATTATGAAGCATGAACTCTTGCTGCTTTGTCAAGTTTGCATCCACGGATTTAGACAAAGAAAACCCCATTTTGTACGTTGACACTGTTGGGCAAAAACACATAATTCTGCAGTCAACACACACCTCAATATACGTCTCTTCTACAAATATCTAACGTAGCTGCATTTGCTTATCTTGACCTTGTGTTTCAGTGTAACTTCGAGTGCTTAAAGCTGACAATAATTTCAGTAAAAAAAAAACATTTAGCAGTTAAATATTCAAAGGGGTAACACTGTGAGAAATGGGTCACTCATTTAACGGGCTTTGGAGTCACTATATGATGAGCTAATCAATGCTAACAACTTCGCGTGCTCCTTCTAAATTATTATTAATGTGAATTTAGCCGACTAAATATTAAAGTTTCACCTACCTAAAATGCTTTAAGTTTGGAAAAACAAATGGAAATAGGTCACAAATAGAGGTACATTCAAGGGTAATGGGCCAAAAAAACAACAACAAACTTGACGCCTGACGCGTGGTTTTATTACCGGAAGTAAACTGCTTATTTCCGGTGAAGCTTTCAAAAATAAAACACGATAGTTTTTTTTTTCCTTTTCTTTTTTTTTTAGGGGGAACCTATTTTTCAACAAAGCAATTMTGTTATCAACACATAAAAATTAAAGTTGGACTGAACCAAGCCAGCAGTGAAGCCTTGTGTGTTTGTGTGTGTACACAGTTATAAGGTCTATTGCTGCTGTGAGTAAATGGCTCCCTCTGTTGGAAATTTCAGAGGCTATACATAAATAATAGAAACGTTAAATCAAATTGTAAGAACTTAATTAACTTAATTTTTAGGTCATAATAACTTATTTATAAGCACAGCTCAAAGTATGAAAAAAAGAGGAAAAAACTTTTCAAAAAGAGCTCAGTAAACTAAAGTCTAAGTTAGCCACAACAAAACAAGTTACTTTTATTTTAATGTCAGTACTACTAAAAAAAGTTACTACTGCTTTACCTCATAACTTTCATCCATCCATCCATCCATCCATCCATCCATCCATCCATCCATCCATCCATCCATCCATGTTTTATACCCGCAGGCATGAACAGGAAAAACATGAAGCCTATCCCGGCATCCAGCAGGTGAGAGGTGGGCATACTGTGGGAAAATCATCAGTCCATCAAAKAGCTAAAACTATACCTGTACACACTCATGTGGGCAATTCACCAAATGAATAAAACATTCAGGTTTTTTTGAACCCTGGGAGGAAGTTGGGATTACCCAGAGAAAACCCACACATGCATGGAGAGAAAGTGCAATCCCCACACAGGACATCCACCCAAAACAGAATCAAATAAATTGTTGGTGAATGAAACTATTGGATTAGTCAATAAAAATGAACAATAATAGTTTCATCCTTAGGGTAGTAACTGCACCAAATACAGCTTTTAAAAGCTGAGGAAAGTCCATCATCCTTCAATTTCCTGGCACTATAACATGGTTTTCTAGTTTTTTAGGACTAAATAACCTCAACATAAAAAGAACTCTGTCTTTAACGCTTTATTTTTTAATCAWGTTGAAGTTCACGACTAACAGGTTAGGAGTTTCCAGGAGACATGCAGTATTAAATTCCAAGATTGAACCCATCAGGTACCAGAAAGGGTTGACAAGGAGTGAAGGGTGGCACAAGCAACGAGAAGTATTTCTTATGGAGAAAAACAACAACAACAACAACAAAAAACAAAAGCCAGCATGGCGGCAACAAGCAGAGAGAATGACAAGGGCAGGAACCAAACAATGAGCAGATGACAAAGTGGAGAGAGGACACCGGTTAAATGCAAACAGAAGGAGAGTGGACATTGGCAAACACCTGGAGAAAAAGCTGATTACAGTAGACAGGTGAGGGTAGCAGGGAGGACAGGAAAAACACTGAAAGCAAGCTGAGGAGGAGAACAAAAGAATGATCAGAAACACTGGGGAAGCAATAAACACAGAGACAATACACAGACACTGACAAGATCAAACCAGGGAAATAATGCAGTAGAAAAAAATATGTTTCTTAGCAGGCACAACAAGCCAACACTGTTGGCAAGAACACAAAATTTTTATTTGGTCAACAGGACAATGTGCCAGAATAAACATTTGGCTGTCAATATTTCGACTGATGGGAATTCCACTTGGCAACTTTTGATCAAAAACTAAAGGCCTATTTAAATTTCCAGTTTTGCCAAGTGACCCAGAGTGAACATGTCTCGTTTGTCTGGGGATGTTATAGGTTTTTGGAGAGTACTTTTTGGAAACACATTTGCATTAAGTATTTGAAATGGACATCACGGTCACTATATGGGAGACATGAGAGAGAAAAAAAACCTGTCTCAGCATGATAAATATGAAAAGTCGTTTGAGCCCAAAATGCACGACCTCTCTAGTATAAGAAATGTTTTTTGAGTAAAAAACGTTTAAACAATCTGATATTTTTGTTTCTTTTTTGAACCTTTACAGTGCATTATATTTTTGTTCCTATTTGTTTTGTTTTTGCTTTAATCGTTGGTCTTTTTCTTTCACTTTCTTTTACCTGTTTATGCAAGATTGTTTTTTAGTTCTGTTTTGTAGTGTCCAGGCTATTATTTTGTAAAGTTTTGTGGAGCTACTGGAAAATACCAATAAATACCTGCTTTTTACAAACAGGTTATTTGTATTTTGTTGGACTTTCTTTGTTCTTGTTCCATGAAGACTTAAAACATTTTTTTTAAATCATAAATTTATAACTATATCAAGTTTAGAAAACCTGCTTGGGACTGTATTAATATATTTGACTGAAAGATATACAGAAATTAATGCACTGCAACCCAAAAYATCAGTTTTAGCTAACAAGTAGACAAAATATAATATAAAAGTCAAGACCATCAAAACAGCAGCTAATGCAATTATCAGCTAAACAAAAACCTAAGAAGTGAAATTAGCAAAACAGTAGCTAAAAGCTAGAATTAGCAAAAGCACCAGCTGAAAGCTAAAATATCAAGCTAAAAGCTAATAATGAAACAAAACTGGCGTGGCTTTTAAATGGCACGAAGTTTATCACAGATTTTAGAGTTATGCATTGGGGGGAAATAATGGTAAACAAACTTTAAAATGTCTTTCCATTTTAGTTAAACCTTTTATTATCTGAGGGTTTAAACTAGCTGAAAGTCTGTTGAAACTGTAAGTCCAAAAAGGGACGGGAGAAACTATGCTCAGAAAAATAACAACAAAATTCATAGAAACTTTTTCTCTCGCAACTTACAGTAGGCTGAARCACTGAAACGGATTCGTTTTAAAAACGTGACGTCATTTTTAAAAAAGCCGCGCGGGAGCATCCCCATCTGACCACACACAGAAACCACTGACAGAAACATGGGAAATCCATGGTGGCCGTTCACTTTAAATTTAAAACACATTCCAAGTCACTGGGCACAATTTCTTCACGTCTTTTCTGCCACTAAACAATCCCTAAGAGTTTGTATGCATGTACGCGGAACTAGTAATCGCTGATGAAGTTTGGAGCTCGTGGAMCTGATTTGTGGGGTACCGTTTTGGCAGGGGTGCATTTTTCGCCTCAACACCCATTAAGCGGACTTTATTCACAGTAAGTACTTCAGCCATCRTGATGCTTTTGGTTCAAGAACGTGAAGTAATTCGCTTAGTATGTATTTACAGYATGTAGGCTACTTTTCCCCAGAATGAAGGCGAAAATGTGCTTTTATAAACTTAACAGTTACACAATAGCGTGTAGTTGAGCTGTGTCGTAAACACAGCCTGCACTGTCGGGAAGAACTCGTGGGTGGGATTGTCCGTCTGTCGAGGAACAACAGGGACATCCTCTTCCTTCCTATTTAAAGCCTCACCAGAGAAGTTCTCATCAGTCAGAGATGAATGAAGGAAGAAACATTAGCTTCTAAAAAACACGACAGGTTTTTATAAAAAAGCTGCAGGTAGGAGCAAAACAAATGCTTATTCTGACAAATTCTGATCAAGCATTCACTGTGCCTAATGATGCTTCTGTCAAGARCAGGTTTAGTTACATTTTGTTAGTCATTTTAACAAATTGTTTTTAGCATTTTGTTTTGAATGTTTTACAATTTATAGTTAAATATAACCTTGATAATAATTGGTGTTTAAAATAGCTCAGACTGAAAGGAAGCTGTAGCTGATTTTGTGCAGAATAGTTTGTTTTTATTTTGTAAAAGTGAGTGTTGCCACACTGTTAAGTCATTTTAATTTAATTTGTGCCACAAAGGCCAAACTGGGTCATAACAGCTCATCACATTTTTTGCAGAGCTGTATGAAAACAGTTTTCTCAGTAAATATTCTCAAATAAATATAGATGATCAGTCATTCAGTCATTAAATGTGTTGATTTCACAGAATTCTGTTGTCCAGAATTAAAAATCATGAAAGCATGAACGTTTTCAAAATCTAAAATAACTTAACTCTGTTTTATGTWGTCATAAATTCAGGCAAAATCTCACTTTTAATCTTAGATTTCAGCATCTGCAAAAACTCCTTTTTAATGTTTTACAATTTTTAGGTCTCAATGGGCTGGACTCTTGTTATTGTTCTGCACGTCCTTTTTCGGTCATCTCTGTCAGGTGGGTAGTAAGTCCGGAGACAAACAATATGTCCACGTAAAATCAGCTGATGTGTATATTTTAACATTTCATGCTGCTTTGAGTGTGCCTAAGCCGTTGTGCAAATTTACACTAATGGTGCGATTCCTATGCATGTTCTCCCTGCAGTTTTGTTCACTGTGGAGGCAGAGAAAACGAACTACATTTCAGAGTATGGAGAAAACGTTGTGATGGGCTGCAGGTTTTCTCCCAAACCCTCCCATCCTCAGAAAGACCTGAAGGTGACCTGGCTCTGGATGTCCGCCTCCCCGTATCAGGAGGTCATTCGGAAAGTCAACGCGTCGGAGCACTCCACGTCTGAGAAGTACGAGGGCAGAGTGAGGCTCCTTACTGATGAGCTGCAGCACGGCTGGGCGAAAATACAGGTACGGTTCGCTGGCGGTGATCTCCGCACTCAAACCGATATTATGAAACGTGTGTGGAGCAAACAGTGAGTCATTATCGTTTCCTATAATAAGACGGGTTAAGCTAGTTTGGTGTTTCCAGACTCCCTTTTCATCATACAAGGATGATTACTGACATACTGACTGTAAAAAGTTTCCCCGTGAAGTTAATCTAGGGTGGGATAAGAATGTGCTGCTGGAACTTGATTTGCGTGCACATGAAAGCAGAATGTGTTTTTTTTTAAATGAACAACATCTGGAAGAAATACCTCAGTAACTGTGCATAACTCACTTTGTTAATGACACATTTACTTTTAATACATACGAGTCAGAACATGCCGCTGCACTGATATATGACTGAAAAGTTTCTTTTTCGTTTCTCCCCTCGCAGTTGTCCAATGTGAAGATCAGTGACTCTGGGGCCTACCAGTGTTTGGTTCAGACTGCAGAAGGAACTGACTATAAAACCATAACCTTGTCAGTTGTCGGTAAGAATAAATTGTGTAAGAGCCTGACAGAGTTCATTAATTGAAGTTGCAGTTGAATACTTAGAAAGGTTTCATTCTGGGAATGGTCTTGCGCAACATCCACTGTGAGTGGTCATTTCTGGGCAGTGAAATTTTACTTATACAGAAAGTGAAACTAACTGTTATTACTCAATATGTGTAATAAAGGCCCAGCAATCTTTGAAGGAATGAACATTGTCTGCTGCTGTTCACACCAGAGTTTTAAATGAAAATCATCTTATAATAAAAATGGATGGAATTATAGTCATTATGATTAAATCTTGTAAATAGCATCACAGCTAAATGGTAAATGGCCTGAACTTATATAGAGCTTTATCAAGTCCTTACGGACTCCAAATTCGCACTACAGTCATTCACACACTGATGGTGATAAACTACATTGTAGCCACAGCTCTGGAGCACACTGCCATGCACCAGCACCGCTCTATAAACCACCATCATACTTACTCATACATGATGGTGTGAATAAGAGAGAAAAGCTGATATCTGAGACCTACTCTTCTGTTTAAAGTTGATTTTTCTTCAGTCGTTAGCACTGGTGCCTCACAGCAAGAAGGTCCCAAGTTCGATTCCTGGTTCAGACCCGGTGGTCTGTCTCTGCAAGTTTGCATGTTCTCCTCGTTTTTGTGGTGGTTTTTCTTCGGAAACTCCAGACCAAAAACATGCATGTTAGTTTGTCTTCAGGAAGCCTCCCTTGCAAAGTAAATTTCTGATTTCAGTGGGCTTTGCCTGCTTAAAAAAGGTTAATAAGTTGCGTCCTTTACCTCCTTAAACCATCTGTCTTCTCACTCAAAATACAATCATTTCCCCTCTAACTCAGAGCTTTATGTGATCAAAACTTCCCTCTTGAGCCAGACAAACAAATCAATCAAAACTTTATTTGTATAGCACTTTTCGCAGCCAACAGCAACCAAAGTGCTGCACAACAGAATAAAAATACAATCAGATAAAATCAAGTAAACACTTTGGTAGAAAAAAAATACACACAAAAAAAAGACCTCAACGACCCTCAGGGGGGAGGGGAGTGAGATTAATGTGCATGTGAATTTAGCTGAGTAAACGGAGCATCTCGTGCATCCTCCAGTTATGTTTCGAGAAAGCTCCTGGAACATTTTAATCTACAGAATAGAAGCCGAGTTGTTTTGCATTCAAAAAAACGTTTCCAACTAGAATTGGCTTAATCAGGGATTAACCGGTGGTGCAGACAGAGATGACTTTGGACAGTGGTGGGCAGCCCTAATCTAAAAATTAGTTCCACTAGCCCTAAAGCACTAACTCAAATATTTAGGTCCCCTAATTCTGAAGCACTAACACACTGAAAGTTTTGTGAAAGCTAATTCTAAAGCAATAAAAAAAAACAGTCAAACATGAATATTCTTCAACAGACAACATGAGTCACATATTGTCATGTTGCTCTATTAAGACTCATCGTTGATATTCCACAGCTGTATTTGTGTTCATATATTGTCACCTAGTGGATAAATGACACACATATGAACAAAATGTGTGACAGTTTTCACCCTCAGCTGTTAACATTAACGTTGATCAATAACATTTATAGACCTCAGTTAGTGCTTCTAAATTTAGCCTGTAAATTTAGTAAGTGCTAATCTACTAATAAACTCTAAAATCAGCAAAATCCCTAAAGCACTAATCAGGAAATTAGTTCCCCTATTAGTGCTTTAGGGGAACTGTGCCCACCACTGACTTTGGAGCACGTTGGGCCTGACTCTCAGCTGAATCCCACCAAGTTTTAGCTCAGTCTCTGGAAAAAAGGTTGAGTTTAAGCTATGCTTTGTGATCTTAAAAATCTAAAACACAATCCCCTTCATCCTTCAAGCTCCTCAGCTAATCCATCTATCAAACATGTTGGTGTTGTAGAGTTACTAACATGAAGTTTGATCCTCCCCTAGCTCCGTATAAGCTGATCTCCAAACACATAGAGAAGACAGCAGAGGGGGATGAGGTGCTGCTGACGTGCCAGGCGCAGGGATACCCCGAGTCTTCAGTGGAGTGGCAGGACGGACTCTCGCTCAGGCACAGTCCCAGCACCACGACTACAACAACACCGGACGGCCTTTTTAAAATCACCAGTCAGATAAAAGTCAGCTCTTCTGAGAAAAACAATTACACGTGCAGCGTCSCAAACGATGCCACCTCTGCAACATTTCACATCCCAGGTACATTTTTATGTCTACTTCAAAGTGCTGCGTAAGATATTTATATACCGAATGTGTGCAAATGTTATCACAACTTCTCAAGGCTGGGTCCTGCAGAACTTACTGTTTGTATCGAATTAGGGTCTTATTTTCACTTAAAAAATACAGAAATATTAAAAAAAATATCATGCACTTTTGTAACTGATGTGATTCCTTTATTTTCCAACTTATCTTTTTTTGGTCTAAATGAGTGAAAGAACATTAAAAAGTCAGGTTCGTTACAGACTAAAAAGTACAGAAACTTCAGACATTATCGCCTGTGTTCATCTCTGTCTACCTCCGTTTCCTGTTGTTGGTAATTTACACCATTTCATTTTAATATTGCATCAAATGCGTCTACATAAAATAAAAAAAAGATCTGAGCTACATTGTTTCCAGAGTTGCAGGATTTCCCCTCCTTTCCAATGAAAGCTGTAGGTGTTGATCAAACGGAGTTAAAGCGATTCAGCTCTATAGGATTACATCTATGCATGTACTCTTACACTTTCTCATCTGAAGAAATGTGCAGCTTTTTTTTGTTTCTGGGTTCTGCGTTTTTGTTTTTTATGTTTAATTCAGAAGGGAAATATTTGTGCTTTTGGGACAGTAAGCTTTAAGCATTTTTCTGCAACTCGATTCATAGTTTCTTTTAGGGCTCAAGTGGGGAAAAAGGAATGTAAGATGAGGAATAAATGCACAGCTCAAACACGTTTGCATAAGCCCTGTTGCTAATGAACAGCTGCAACAATGTGAGTTCTTGACCACTAAGAGGAAGTCTAACGTATTATTGTTTTTGGTAGTTTTGGTTCTTTCCAAAGTGGGTAAAAAACAAATTTAAAAACATGAAGAGGAAATAATGTTAATATCCTAAAACATTAACAATTCCTTTTTTCTTCTCTCTGTCTGCAGATGATATTCCAACTCCTCATGTCCAAAATGACGCTCTCATCGTTGTGTTGAGCATAGGCTTGATTCTGACTGTCGTCGTTGTTGGAGTTCTCACTTACCGACGACGGAAAGGTAACCAGTGCACTCTCTGAGCAAACTGTACTCATCAGCCTTTATACACTAACTTATGTCCAGACGAGTTGGGAAGGTTTCTCAAATGCAAAACTTGGATTGTGTCATAAGATTCAAGCAGTCGAGAGAATAATCAGCGTATAAAGAGATGGAGGTGCTGGATGTCTCTGTATCTTTAAGGCGGGTTATGTTGGTGTAGCTACACTGAGCTGTCACTCAAAACTGAACTGTGCCGCAAATAAGCAGAAATTAGGTCCGTTCAGAAATGCTGCTGAGTTGCCTTTAAGCGAGTCATCTCAGACAAACAGACTCGTGTTCTGCTTTTTGATGAGCTTTCACCTTCAGTTTGGGGGAAACGGGTATCCGATTCTACGTGTCAAACACGAGGAAGGGTCGTTTCGGTGAGGGGTGTGAAAGCCAGAGGCAGAAAAGAACTGGTGATTTGTAGATTGATGCAGAGGTGAATATTACGACACTGGGGATTCAAATGTCACCATGATGGGAACAGATTTTTTTTTTCCATGTAAGAGAGGTCAGACTGAGATGGTTTGGACATGTCCAGAGGAGGGACAGTGGGTTTATTGGTCGAAGGATGTTAATGCCAGGAAAAAGACAAAGAGGAGATAATGGATATAAACTCACCGGCCACTTTATTAGGTACACCATGCTAGTAACGGGTTGGACCCCCTTTTGCCTTCAGAACTGCCTCAATTCTTCGTGGCATARATTCAACAAGGTGCTGGAAGCATTCCTCAGAGATTTTGGTCCATATTGACATGATGGCATCACACAGTTGCCGCAGATTTGTCGGCTGCACATCCATGATGCGAATCTCCCGTTCCACCACATCCCAAAGATGCTCTATTGGATTGAGATCTGGTGACTGTGGAGGCCATTTGAGTACAGTGAACTCACTGTCATGTTCAAGAAACCAGTCTGAGATGATTCCAGCTTTATGACATGGCGCATTATCCTGCTGAAAGTAGCCATCAGATGTTGGGTACATTGTGGTCATAAAGGGATGGACATGGTCAGCAACAATACTCAGGTAGGCTGTGGYGTTGCAACGATGCTCAATTGGTACCAAGGGGCCCAAAGAGTGCCAAGAAAAGATTCCCCACACCATGACACCACCACCACCAGCCTGAACCGTTGATACAAGGCAGGATGGATCCATGCTTTCATGTTGTTGACGCCAAATTCTGACCCTACCATCCGAATGTCGCAGCAGAAATCGAGACTCATCAGACCAGGCAACGTTTTTCCAATCTTCTCTTGTCCAATTTCGATGAGCTTGTGCAAATTGTAGCCTCAGTTTCCTGTTCTTAGCTGAAAGGAGTGGCACCCGGTGTGGTCTTCTGCTGCTGAAGCCCATCTGCCTCAAAGTTCGACGTACTGTGCGTTCAGAGATGCTCTTCTGCCTACCTTGGTTGTAACGGGTGGTTATTTGAGTCACTGTTGCCTTTCTATCAGCTCGAACCAGTCTGCCCATTCTCCTCTGACCTCTGGCATCAACAAGGCATTTTCGCCCACAGGACTGCCGCTCACTGGATGTTTTTTCTTTTTCGGACCATTCTCTGTAAACCCTAGAGATGGTTGTGCGTGAAAATCCCAGTAGATCAGCAGTTTCTGAAATACTCAGACCAGCCCTTCAGGCACCAACAACCATGCCACGTTCAAAGGCACTCAAATCACCTTTCTTCCCCATACTGATGCTCGGTTTGAACTGCAGGAGATTGTCTTGACCATGTCTATATGCCTAAATGCACTGAGTTGCYGCCATGTGATTGGCTGATTAGAAATTAAGTGTTAACGAGCAGTTGGACAGGTGTACCTAATAAAGTGGCCGGTGAGTGTAGTTGTTGAGCAGCTAAAATCTAGCATTCAGCAACATTTGGATATTTGTAAGACTTAGTGTCTCAAATATGACATTAATAGGAAACGTAATACAACTCTCTGCCTTTTTTGTCCAGCTGAATAAATTGCTGGCATCAAAGTTTACCTTTTATTATTAAATCAAATTGATCAGTCCTAACCAAACTACTTCATTTGTATCTGTTATATAAAGGTTTAATTAAATGATCAAATTATCTGCATTTAAGAAACTTTCCCAACTTGTTTGATAAAGATGGATTAAAGTACATAAGCTTTAAAGAATATCCATGTTTGAATATTCTCACGCCACTAAACTATCCTGTTGTTGTGACATTTGAGATGATCCCAACCTTATCAAAGTACAGGGCTTTATCCCACTGAAAGAGGGATTTCCTGTTAACAAGTGGCAGCAGCAGCTCGTGTTCTGGTTTTGGAAAATCAAAAGTGAGGCTCAAGAATCGACTCAAATTTTATGTTAAGTTTTTTTGGTCAGAGGTGAATTTTCCAAACACCTCTGAAGACAAAAGGAAGGATCGGTTCGAGGTTGTGTTTCACTTTTGTCCTTTATTTCCTTATCATAGTCACGTCTTCAACTTTCACAATCCATTCGAAAAGTGCAAAGACAAGATAGAGCTAACCTATCTTTTGTTGTTTTTTTTTTTAAAAAAAGGCCTGACTGTTGGTTTTCTGACTCAAATCTACTCTTAAGTTCACTACTCAGCTATTTTAAACACACTTCCTATTTTAAATCTATATATCAGCTTATTTTTGCTTGTTTTGTTCAAAGGGCAGGGGGATTTTTGCCTTGTTAATAAAAAACATGTCACTGTTAGCACTAAAGACAATGCAAGTGCTCCACATGCCAAGTCACGCTTCCTCACTAAAGAGGAAGTTTTTTTTTTTGTCAGATGTTTTGATGTTTGCATATTTGACACAATCTCAAACAAGCTTGTTCATTTTTTGTGTTCTTATTTTGGAATTTTACCAGCATGTGACCTGCTGAGCATGATATCATGTGTGAGTGACTCGGCTGCTTTTTGGGCCAAGATATCGACCTGGCTGGAAACACCCAGTTTGGTTTTGGTTTGTGTACATGGGGAAATTTGAGGTTATTTGTAAATACATGGGTGGTTTTTTTTAAGCACGTGTTAACATCCAAATGGACACTCTCAACATTTCAGTAGTAGATTTATTACACTGCATTCCACGTATGAATGGGTCAAATTGTACTTCAGTTACGGGTACATAACTGTTTTCAGGAAGGTTTGAATTATCGTTACAGTACTCAGAACAGCTTGTGATAGTTTTCAAAAGGAACGCAGTTAAAAAGAAACGACGTTTTTAAAACTGTGAATTTCAGCAGGAAGTTCAAAGTCAGAACATGATGATTGTAAAATGTTGGAGAACCACATGTGGTCTCAAAACACTCAGCTGCTGTTCTGTTAAGGGTGTAAAAAGAAAAGGTAAAAACCACAAATKTAAAATAAAGATTGTGTTTTTAACTTCTATGTTTCCTTATTGTCAACGTTTTATATCGACACATTAATCAAAGGGTTTCTTGTGTTTTAGGGGTCAGAACTTCCAACACCAAGAACTGTCATGCTGATGAGGAGGATAAATCTACATCTGTCTGTAAGTTTAATCAGCTCACATCCTCAATGATATTTTTGTTACTAATCATTCTAGCTATATAAAAAAAACAAGTTTACTGATAACGCTTTGTTTTCTGTCAGACGTACAGAAAGATAAAGGAAATGAGGAGGAAGGACTAATTATCATGAAAAGTGAGTAACTCTYTTTACTTCAGCTGGTAAAAGATCATCTAATGTAGTTATTTTGGTTTGAAATAAGCAAAACCTCACCTTGAAATAGAAGAAAAAAACAAAACAAATGCAAAGGCAGCAGCATTTGTTGCTTTAAAATATCACAAGCTCCAAAATTTGGGGCAATTTTTTATTATCATTACTGCATTTTAAAATTTAGGAATAGATGCATTATGTTATAAAAGAAAAAAAAGCTATCTTTATTCATACATTCTTGTCAACCACAGAGTGAATAGATGTTTTGTTGTTGTCTGTAGAACAAGCCGAGGAAAATCTGGAGTCGTATCTGAAGGCGTATTATACTGAATCCTTTCTCAGTACCGATACGAGTCGCTGCTGCGATGGTTTCGCTGTGGAGGAGCTGATTCAGAGGTTGCAGAACAAGTGAGTCATTTAAACATTTACAAACTGATCGCTCCCCTTTTTTCTTCAGTGTCACTTCCAGTAAACCGAACCCACTTATCAAGCTAAAATAAAGCCCCCGTTTTAATAAACYTATTTATTTGGTTATGTTTGATGTATATTTAAGCACTTAGACTTTGTTTGAGTTTAAAAAACATTTAAAAAGCATCAATATTTTTTCACTTTGTGGRGCTCAGAAATGAAAAGTGATTTGGTGTTCCTCATGGATCATTACTCGGCCCATTTATTATTTTGAAACATAGATTGTTCTTGACTGTGCGATTGGTGTTTTTTTTTATAATAATTATTATTTTTTGTATGTCAAAAGATTAATCCTGTTTATTTTTCAGTGAGAGCCAGCCTGCAAGACTCCTGGATTTACTCCCAGAAGCTGGAAATGTCCTGTTACTAGAAGGACCCCCAGGAAGTGGGAAAACAACCGCAGCCCATATCCTGGTTTCCTCTTGGACTGAAGGTCCTAAACATGCCACCTCTAACCTCGTTGATCTGGGCTTTATTGATCTTCTGGTGTATCTAAACTGCAGTACTGTGAACGGGGACTTGTTCCAGGAGATAACAGCTCAGCTCTCTCTCAGTGAAAAGCCATCAGAGGAGCTGAGGACAGTTTTATCTGGCTCCAGCACAACTCTGCTGTTACTGGACGGATACAAAGAAGGACACCAACTTTTTGATGAGACTGTGAGGAGGTTTATAAAAGAAAGAGGATCCTGCAGGGTGTTGGTCACATCCTGTTCGGACGACTGTCCCACACTGAAGCAGACGCTGGGGTCAGGGGGGATCCTGAAGCTTCAAGCGCAATTTGCAAAGTATTGAAGAAAAAATTGTTAAACTTTTGTCACTTTTTAAAAACTTGTAAATACAAATGTTTTATGTTTGTTTTCTTAATGCATTTGTTTTTTATTTAAAGCAAAACTATGCTGCAAAATGTACAGTATGTTTTTTAATGTCTTTATTGTTGTCTGGTTTAACAATAAATCATTTAAGTTTTTCTAAAGAAACTGCATCATGTCTTTACTTGATAATAAACTTTTAGATGTGGCCTAACCATTTGTGCAATATGTGAAAGCCCTGAAATTGATTTCAGTTTCAAACTTTCTGTATCTAGTAAATTTGACAGCTCAAGCACGCTGAGTGATTTTAGAAGTTTCTGTTCACTTTAAGTGCATACTGTAAGTGAAAGAGAGGTTTAGATCATCTGCAGAGCTGCAAGCAAAACACCAGCAGCAGCATCTGTTTTTGAGGAAGTGGCTTGGCCTTTTTGGTGAGAGTCACCATTAATTCCAGTAACATTTAGTTAAGTCACAATTTTTTTATTTTTGTGTCTTCTTCTTTCTCTGGTATTTGAGTCATTCAGACACACAGTATTTTACTGCTGATTTCATTTTCCTCGTGCACAATCTCTTAAGTGTCCACTGAAATCGAGCGCAACATTAATTTCCTTTAAAAGAGTGTCTGCCTTTTCTGGTCGTGCCCAAAACGTGCAGTCAGCAGTAAATGTCATGTTTTCTTTATGAGTTATCAAAAGAGAAGTGAAACCCACTAAAGATAATCACCACCTGGCCTACACGAAACGATTAAAACATTTTGCATTATTGGGATAAAATATTAAAGAATATTTATTGGATTAGATAATTATTTACAGCTGTAGTTTGCTCAAGTTAAAGCTTTTAGTTCATGCTTGGCTAGAGAGGACGCACCCCTCGTCTAGTGGTTGCACAAAAGTCATGTCCTGTTTTAACTTTATTCTTTTTACATTTATGAAATTTTTCTTCCTCTCTGTGGAACTTGTGAACTTCCAGTTTCTGTTTGTGAGGCTGACACTTTGTCTACTTTAGACTTAAGACTTCTTTCTTTTTATATATATGTATAACTCATAGTTAGGCTTAAGCACCTAAAAATTGTGTCATTTTGTTAGCAGCTTTGACTCTGTCACAACAATTGGTCAGAAGTTCGTGGGTGTGTTTACGCTGAAAGCGCTGGGATGCTGCATTTTGATTCAACTCCTCGCTTCCAGAATCTGACTGTTGTACCTGGAAGTAGATGGAAGATTTTTGCTGACTTCAATCAAGAGCGTATATTTTCAATTTGAGAGCAGGAGTATATGTCTGCTCTCGAAACTTTATATATTTGTTCTCAAAACTTAAAATGCTCACACTCAAAACCTCTGCTCTCTTTCAAATGTTCCCTGTCCTCTCTCAAATCGTTCCTTTCTCACTCAGAATGCACAAATCTAAGCTGTGCTTGCAAACTGCACTTTTCTGCTTGCGGATTGGTTCTGCCCTCTCTCGGATCRGGGAGTAACGTCTCCTAGCAATCGTTCCAGCCAACAGAATGAAAGCGTTAAACTGTATGTAGACATGTAAAGATAGTCAAAAGGCCAAAAGTTCATGGATGGAGATAAAACAGACGACGTGCACGGAGGGATCTCGCTGCCAAAAACTGTGGAGTTTTAACCGAGACAAAAACTGAGTCTCTGATCCTGACCACATTTCATTCACGTTTGTTATAATTACAGCGGGTAAAATAAGTATTGAACACGTCACCATTTTTCTCAGTAAATATATTTCTAGAAGTGCTAATGACATGAAATTTTCACCAGATGTTGGTAACAACCCAAGTGATCCATACATACAAAGAAATCAAACCATAAGTTTCCAGAAATGAAGTTATTTGTAATAATGTGGAATGGCACAGGGGAAAAGTATTGTGAACCATAGCTATGTGATGTGAGTATGAGTCACCTGTGAACTATAGCCATGTGATATGAGTATCAGTCACCTGGAGGC